ACAGTCTAGGAAGAAGAGTTATGCATACTGGAAGGTTCGGGATATAGCTTATATGGTAGGAGAGAGAGTTTTGCTCAGAGTTTAGCCTATGAAGGGCGTGATGCGGTTTGGGAGGAAGGGCAAGTTGAGCCCTCGATATATTGAGCCATTTGAGATTTTAGAGAGGGTTGGGGAAGTTTCCTACAAGCTTGCATTTCCTCCTAGCTTATCTATATTACATCTGGTATTCCATGTTTCCATGCTTCGGAAGTATCCTGAGGACAACTAGCATGTTTGGATTTTAGCATAGTTTAGCTTGATGAGGATTTAGCATATGAGGAGGAGTCGGTGGCTATTCTAGCCCGACAAGTTCGACGATTGAGGTCTAAGAGTTTTCCTTTAGTGAAAGTGCAATGGAAGGTCAGCCGATTGAGGCAACTACATGGTAGTTCGAGTCCGATATGCGGAGTAGATACCCCACACCTTTTTACCAGTCCAGGTACCTATCTATGTTCGTTCAAGTACGAACGTATATTTTAGAGGTTGAGAATGTGATGATCTGATAGGTCGATTTGAGTACTAGTCCTTATTTCTGTGCTTTGAAACCTCCATTAGCTTCATTTGATGTTTCTTGATTTGCATACGTAGTCCGTGTCACTTTTTGAACAGCATTTATGTGAAGATTTGAAAAAAAAAACATGATTTTGGCTTTAAAAGTAACTTGACAATCCCAGAGTGTTTGAATAGTAATTTTGGACTTGGACGAATGCCAGGAATTGAATTCGGAAGTCCCTAACTTGATTTTATGTGTTTTGTCAAAAGCTAGTAACTTGAAGGTTTAAGAATTTCCTAGGTTTGACCGTAGGTTGACTTTATGGAAACCGGGCTCAGATTTTGGTTTCGAGACTTGGTGTAGGTTCATTTTTCTATTTGAAACTAGTCTGCAAAATTTGGTGTAAATTGGAGTTGGTTTGATATGATTCGGATGCTCGGTTGTGATTCTTGATGTTCTTGGGTTTCTTGGAAAATGTTATGCATTTTGATGTTCGATTCGTAGTTCTAGGTATTATTTTTGTGTTTTGATCACACAAGCGAGTTTGTATAATGCTATTACACTTGTGTGTATGTTTGGTTGGAGCCTGAGGTGCTCGGGTGAGTATTAGATGTGTTACGGATGAGTTTGGATAGCGCAAGGATGCTAGTACAGTGCCCAATTCTGGTGTCTGGTGCAGATCTTGCATTTGTGAGGTCTGGATCGCAATTGCGAGCCTCATATCTGTAGACAAATGTCCGCATTTGAAAGCAAGGCCTGGGATTAGGTAACCTTGCATTTGCGAGGGAATTGTTCGCAATTGCTAATTGCACAGGATCGCTTTTGTGATCACTTGGTCACATTTGCGATGACTGGCAACAGTAGGGCATCTTCGCAATTGCGAAGATTTTGGTCGTAATTACGAAGATAGGATCTTTGCATTTGCGATCAATTTATTGCAATTGCGACAACAGGGCGTCTAAGGTAGGGTTCGCATTTGCGACCTTTGTCTCGCATTTACAAACAAGACTTCGCAATTGCGACATCCGCAGCAGGGTAAAGGAGGAAAAAATCGGGACTTAGCTCATTTTACACCATTTATCAACCCTAAACACTCTAGTGGCAATTTTTCAAGAGGATTTCTTCCTAAGATCATTGGTAAGCAACTTTAATCCATTTTTTTAATAACGCATTACTTTTTACATGTTTTTAACATCAAATCTAGAATTTTTATGGTAGAAATTAGGAATTTGGGTAGAAATTGAAGATGTTGTAAAATTGAAATTTAGACCTCAAATTGAGGTCAAATTTCGAAATAAATTACTTAATCGGGCTCGGGAGTTAATGGGTAATCGGGTTTTGGTCCGAACCTCGGGTTTTGACCAAGCTAGTTTGGGCTTGACTTTTGTTGACTTTTCAAAAATGATCATAAATGAACCTCTTTCATTAATGGGTAGTTTCTAAAGCTTATTTTGAACCGTTTGATCGATATGTTGATAGATTTAGTTGGTTTGGAAGCTTGTTCAAAAGGCAAAGTTGTGGTTGATGGATCTCTTTGGTTGCGGAGCGAGATAAGTTTCGTGGTTAACCTTGACTTGAGGGATTAGGACTTGTTGGCCTATTTGCTACGTATTTTATGTGTGGGGACAACATATATGTGAGGTGCCAAGTATCTATGCGTTATCATTGGATTAAAGCATGTGGGTGGAAATTGTTTCATTGTAGTATATTATTTTATTGATTATGTTTTCCATGCTTAAGTTAGATTATTAATTCATTTAATTATTCATTTTATATTTAATGTTTATTTCAAAGATGTTGGATATTTTGGAAGTTGAGTTTGATATCATGGAACCATAATTGAAGTAAAATTATTTTCCGCCTTGCTTTTATTATTCGGATTTGTATTGTTGATTGGTGAGAAAGAGAGAAAATCACGAAGGGTGTTACCGTGCCTCATTTGTATTCATTATCATATATTGAGAGGTTTGAGAGTAAAATCACAAAGGGTGATGTCGTGCCGGTGAGTAAGAGCACGATGGGTGATGTCGTGTCATTTTATTTATGATATTACATGGTGAGGACAAGAGTAAAAGCACGAAGGGCGATGCCGTACCATATTCATTTTATTGATTTAATTGATTTCCGAATTGGTGATTTACTTGGTTATAGTGTTGCTTATTTCGGAAGATGTCATTAGTTAATTTCATACTTATCGTTTTTATGTATGACCCTTTCGCATATCCCCACCTAGTGGATATTTTATTATTCTATCTGCCCTTTTGTTATATAGTGTGTGTGCATATATATATATATATATATATATATATATATATAGGTCTTGTCATAGCCTTGTCACTACCTCGTCGATATTAGGATCGACACTTATGGTGTATATTAGATCGGTTGTACTCACGCTATACTTCTAGCGGCATTTAGTAGTTTTTCTTCTAGGATTTAGCCACAATTGGAGACTTGAGGTATATCTGCACTGCTTCCGCAGCCCTGAAGTCCCCTTCTTTATCTATCCTAGTGTTTATCTAGATTCAAACGGTGTACTTTGTTTCAGACCTTATATGTAGTACTTTAGTTGATCATGCACTTGTGACTCCAGATTCTTGGAGATGTTTATCGTTATATGTATTTCATTATTCCATTTCCTTATTCCGCTTCAGACTATTTCTGTTTTATCTTTATTGATGCTTTATTGTGAATTGTTAAAATTGGTTAAAATAATCTAGCTAATGTTGGCTTGCGTAGCAAGTGAAATGTTAGGCGTCATCACGGTCCCGAGGGTGTGATTTTGGATCATGACAGTAATATTTCTTCTCCTACTCCTACTTTCAATAATGATAACCTTCTCCTACTCCTACTTTAAATAATTCTATACTTGTCGGCAATGATGAATCAGTTCATATTCATTCTATTAGTTCTTCCTCATTCTCTACTTCGTCTCATACTTTTTCATTACCCTCTGTCTTATGTGTTCCACTTCTTTGTAAAAAATTATTTTATGTTCGTCGATTTACCAAGGATAATATCTGCTCATTTGAATATTTTCCTTGGGGTTTTATTGTGAAGGATTTGCAGACAGGAAAATCCTCCACAAATGCCACAGTGACGGGCCTCTCTATTAATTTTTTCAACCTGCCTCTTGCTCATCCTCCTCTTCATCATAAGCCCTAGTTGTTTCCTTGGTTCCTGTATCAGTTTGGCATGCTCGTCTTGGTCATCCTGAATATGCAGTCCTTGCGTCACTTAGGTCTAGGAATTTTATTTCTTTCAATAATATGGACCTTGGGCTTTCTTTTATAATTCTTGTTTGACTTCTAAACATTCTACTTTACCATTTTCTATTAGTATTTCTTCTTCAACTCATATGTTAGAGTTGATTCACTCACCCATTCCCTCTATTACTGGATTTCAATATTATGTTATTTTAATTGATGACTTTCTAAGTATTTGTGGCTTTATCCATTATGAAATAAAAGTGATGTTTTTTATTGCTTTCATATATTTAAAGCTCTTGTAGAAAAGTAAGTTTCTTCTTCCATCAAGTGTTTTCGTTCTAATGGCCGTGGTGAATTCACTAGTGCATAATGTTTGACATTTTTTTTCTACTAATGATATTATTTTTTAGCACTCTTATCCTCACACACCGCAATAAAAGAGTGTAGCCGAGTACAAGCATTGCCATCTTGTTGATATGGCTCGTACTCTCCTTTATCATGCCAAAGCTCCGCTAAATCCTTGGGTTGAGGCTTTTCAAATAGCTACATACTTGATAAATCGTATGCTTACTCCCTTACACAACTATTCCTCTCCCTTTTATCTTCTTTTTGGAATTGACACCGACTATTTTGTTTTACGTCCATTTGGTTGTCTCTATTATCCCAATTTGCGCCCTTATCGCATTCACAAACTAGATAATACCTCATCTCTATGTATCTTTATTGGCTATAGTGCCAATCACAAAGGATATTGATGTCTCCGTCTTGATATTTAACGTGTTTATACAAGTCGATTTGTTCGCTTTGTCGAACATTGATTCCCTGTGCCACTCCACATCTTCTTCCTTCTTTCCGTAATTTTTCTCCCTCGGCTTATCATAACTCATTGCCTCAGTCATCCCCCGTTGTATCACCTATTGTGGTACAATCTAGTGCTCCCTTTTATATTGTTCCTGCTCCTCCATCTACATCTCAGGTTTTCTTGATCATTCTTCTATTTCTCCTCAAAGTTATTCCTCATTGTCCCCATCTAGTTCCATACCATCTATACCTACATCTCCTGATCATTCTACATCAATCCACTCTGCGCCTCTTACTTCACCATTACCACCTCCTTCTCATCATATGGTTACCCGGTCAAAAGTTGGTGTTGTCAAACCCAATCCGAAGTATGCTTTACTTGCTCAGTCCCTATTTGAATTACTTGTTGATCCATCTTGTTATAGTTCTGCGGTTAAGATTCCGGTTGGCGTGATGCTATGGCTGATGAGTTTAATGATCTTCTAGCTAATCGTACTTGGTTTCTTGTTCCTCGCCCTCCAAATATCAATGTGATTGGTTGTAAATGGGTATATCGGGTTAAGCAAAATTCTTATGGATCTCTTGATCGATGTAAGGCTCATTTAATAGCTGAGGGATATACACGGTCTTATGGTGTGGACTATAGTGACACATTCAGTCTGGTGGTTCATCCTGCTACTGTTAGACAGGTTCTTTCTATTGCCTTATCTCGTGGATGGCATATCCGTCAGTTTGACGTTAAAACTGCCTTTTTTAATGGTTTACTAACTGAGACTGTTTAGATAGAGCAACTACAGGGCTTTCAGGATTTTCATATCCCCATCATGTTTGTAAGATTCATAAGGTTCTCTCTAGCCTTAAGCGGGCTCCTTGGGCTTGGTTTGCTCGCTTTGGCCACTTTCTTATCTCTCATGGATTTTCTAATAGTCGAGCCGGTAACTCCCTATTTGTTTATAAATTTGGAGAACGATACTTTTATCTTCTCTTTTATGTTGATCATATTATTCTTACAGGGTAAGTTTCTTCTTTATTATCATGGTGTTCTGACATGCTATACGTTGATTTTCCTATTAATGATCTTAAATATCTTCACTTTTTTCTGGGAGTTTGTCTTTCTCGCACTTCTGCGGGTCCTCATCTTTCTCAAGCTAAGTATGCTCGGTATGTTCTTGATCGAGCTAGTGTTATTGGTTGCAAGCCATTTGCTACTTCAGTATCTTCTTCTAGTTCTTTGGACTCTTCATTTCCACTCCAGTTGGCAACTCTCTTTATTACATTTTGGTTGGTGCTTTGCAATATCTAACATTAACGCGTCCAGATATTTCTAATGTTGATAATAGTGTCAGTCAACATATGTAGTCCCCTCAACCATATTATTTTTCAACAGTCAAACACATTTTAAGGTATGTTGCTAGTACAGTGCATCATGGACTTTTGCTGCGTCCTTCATTTGCTATCTCATTAACTGCTTACTCTGATGCTGATTGGGTTGGTTGTCCTGATATTCTGCGCTCTACCTCTGGCTCTCTTTTATTATTTTGGTAATAATCTAATCTCTTTGTCTTCTAAGAAGCAACTCATCGTGTCTCTAACTAGCACAGAGGCCGAACATCGCGCCATGGCACACATTGTTGCTATTATTCTTTGGGTTCAACAATTATTACATGATCTTTATATTTATTTTCCGGACCCTCCTCTTGTTTATTGTGCCAATATCAGTGCATTGGACCTCACTGTGAATTCTATCTACCATTCACGGATAAAGCATTTAGCTTTTGATTTCTATTTTGTTCGTGAACGGGTTGCTTCTGATTCTATTTTGGTGCGCTATTTACCAATTGATCAACAACTTGCTGATATTCTTGTTAAAGGTTTCCCATAAATTTAAATGTCTTAGAGACAATCTCCATGTGCATCCATGTGTCGATTGAGGGGGCGTGTTAGAATAGGATTTGTATTATACAGTTACGCTTGTATTTATTTACACTGCATTAGAGAATTGTACAATATACTTGGGGGTCGTTTGAGAGGGCGTATAAGAATAATGCTAAATAAGGTGTATTAATAATGCAGGGGTTAGTAATGCATGGGTTAGTAATGCAAGCATTAGTTATACATAGATTATTTCTTATGCATTGTTTGGTGTGGTGTATTAAAAATTAAAATGCATTGCATAATTTTTAAGAAATTTAATTGTTTACAAAAATGTCATCCATATTCTTTAGCTTAAGGGACTTTAAGGATAATTTTGTCTTTAACCATGCTAATGCATGCATTAATAGCCTTTGGCATTAGCTATACATAGGATAATACTAAGTAGAGTGTATAACTAATGCTTGTGTTAGTTATACATAAATTAAAAAAGTGTACCAAAAAAAACATTACTAATACACAAAACTAATGCATGCATTATTTTCTCTAACACAGTCTACCAAACGACCTCTTATATCTTTGTACAGAGAACAACTTATAAATACAACACTCTTACACTGTTTAGGTTGAGCGCAGCATTTATACCAGTTCTCTCATTATGTGGCAACAAAACTATTTTTGGTCAATACCTAATATCTCTCTTCTTCTTTTTTGTCTATTTATTAAAATCAATAACAAAGTAAAAGAAATTTATACTCCCCTTCTCTCTCTCTCTAAGTTCCAAACAAATATAATTGACCTATCGTTTTCCTAATCTTTTTCTTTTCTTTTCATTGCAGTGTCAATTCACAAACACAGTATGTACTCATGATTAAGATTTAAGCAGTTCAAAACTTCTTATCTTTCTTTTTTTCTTTTCTAATCTCATTATTAAAGGCATTTTTTTTATTTGGGATTAGACCCTTCAGTACGCTTGCCTTGTCACTTCGTCAATCTCTAACCAAAAAAATGAAAACCCTCTTCACTCTTATTAAATATCTTATTCAAATAAATATTCTAGTATATATATATNGGAAAAACTTAAATTTCAAATATGAAAAATTGACTTGGGATAATATGCATGAGTTAGTAGTATAATTTTTTTTCTCGGAAATGGTCTAATCCCAAAATTGGAACTCCAAGGGGGATATATTATTTATCAGTTTGACAAAGTAAATTACAATAAAAGGGGGTGCTGGTAGTTCAAGTCTATCCTCTACAGGAATTTTTTTTGAGAAATTAACGTAAATAGTTGCCCTCCCAAAAAAATGCCAACAAATATATACTATACGTATAATCTATATCTATCTATACATCTATATACTATATTAAAAGCACGAAAGCCTTTAGCGAAATGTCGTTCGTTTCTTTTACCTTTAAAAAATATATTTCATATTAGATAGAACAGTAAATTAGTTATTTTCCTAATTTTTAATACTTTAAAATTAACTAAAATTTTGGTTATTAAATCATTCCTTATTTGAAACATACCAAATACACTAAATCTCCTTTAATAAATAAATCACTAATATTTAGGAATTTGAGATCATTAACAAAATTTGCCACTTTTATTCCCCAAAAAGAAAGTTCAACGTCTATATGAATGGAAAAAATCTTAAAGCCTATGACAAAGTATGCTTCCAACAATCATACCAAATCGGGTGGCAATTCACCTAAATACAAAATTAAATTTTTTCTTTCTCCATTTATTCCAACAAATGACTAAATGTAGTTTTTATTATATTGAGTTATTTGTGTTAGTTGATAAATCTTGAGAAATTGTGATAAAAGCATACGAAGCAACAAATATTCATAATTTTTGGATTTAATAATAGGCCACACAAATAATAATATTTTCAAAAGATATATTGAAATCATAATCTTTTCAAATTCACGCGAAATTGATTGATCAAACTCTTATGTAAAGTTGAACGATCTTTTAACCTTAAAAAGAAACACTCATTTTATAACATTTATGTACAAAAAAATCCATATTCTAATAAATTTTCCTGTTACCCGATATTATTATGTTTTTTAATTCAATATCAAATCCTACAAATAATTCATTAATAAAAACACACTTAACTATGGCACATCAAGTTCAAACGATATAGTATCCAACATTAGAGGAGACAAAGATATTATTATTATATCCTTATCGTTTAACTTATGTGAATCAAGTATATTCTATTAATTAATTCCAAAATAAATAAAAATAATATAACTCCAATCACGTAAGACACTAAAATGGAAGACCAAAATCGTCACCATTTAATTTTGAACTTCATTAGAAAAATAAATCGAACTATAAATAGCACGCGAATCAGTAATTATATACTCGATATCATTAATTTTCCAAAATCACCATTTAAGTTTTTTCTAATATTTTAAAGTTTTTAATTAGTTAAATTTTTTGTATTAAATCCTTACTTATTTAAACTATATATAAACTTTTAATATTAAATATATCGTATAAATTCTTTGAATTATGTAAAGTTTTATTTTACAACTCTAATATAATTTTAATATAATATTTATATAATTATTTTAAACATATTATTGAGATGGGATACACGCATAAAGCGCGTACCCTAAGACTAGTTAATATAAAATATATGTATATTAGTTAGGGGTTATAAATATTTTTGACGGGGGCGGCTAAATATGTACCTTCCCGGAGAAAAAATTGAAGTGAATAGTGGAAATAGTTTCTTGGGCCATTACTCGTTTCATGTTGGGAAAATGACATTGTATAACCACCCTCAAAATAATAGCCAGAAGAATATATATATATNCACTGGCGCGGGCTAAAAGTGATAATACCCTTTGATGTCGTGACAAATGCTATCCAACACATTACTACATTATTATTTTGGAAAAAAAGTATCTTAAAAAAATATACTCCTTCTATAGTATACACATTTCTATTTTGAGACGTCATAATGTAACTGAGATACGACAATACCATGACATGCCATCGACACCGTTAATATATTCGGGATTTTCTTAATGTTTTTTCATTGATTTTACTAGGTGTGATTTGTTGGACGTATATTCAACTTTTCTCTTTTTATTTAATCTTTCGAATTTTGTAGTGGTAGTGGTACTAAATTGTTCGGTATCTCGGTGTATTTTATTGAAAATTTGAACAAAAATATTACTCTATATGATTTTCAATTTTACCAATTAAAATTGAATTCCAATAACATTACCCTAAACCCCAATACTCGTAAACCATCCTGGACTACAATGGATTGGACTCACCGACTCAATATATTGGGCTTAAAGTTATGCTGGATATGGGTTTATAAGAAACAAATCCTTGGGCCTATATTAGTCGGACCTCCATGACCCAGTTAAGTTTTGGGATGTGGTTTTTACCTAGCTATACTCTATTAGAAACTTATTTACCAATGTTCTCTATGTTTTCTAGTTTTTAATAAGTATCTAGGTTTTTCTTACAAATTGTGTAGATTGCTCCTTAAAAAGGCTCTCACCTCATTATTAGTGCCTTCAATTAAGGGATCTAATTATATCATTTCCTTTTTTTTCCCTCTCCTCTTCTCTCTCCTTTTTTTTTTACAAGAAAATCCCTTAATCTACGCTCAGAATCTCCATCTTCTCTCTTCCTACCATTGTTGATAGCTTTATATTATTAAATCATCAATTGTATCGTTCTTCTGATGGGAGACAGGTCAACACTGAAAATGAAGAAATATTCAGCAATTATATGATAATTGTATCATGATTGTATTTGAATTGTATCATATACATCAATACGTAAAACATAATTGTATCACAATTGTATCTAATTTGTAGATGGTACATTAATATTCAAAATAATACCTGATACAGTACTAATAAAATAATA